AAGGAAGTCATGTTTTGGAGAAATATAGGTATTGGACCGCAAAAAAAGTTCTGTGAAAGATCTAAGTACTGAATATTGCCAACCAATGTAAAATTAAGGGGATGGTTGCGAGATGGCAAGTAACAATTTTTGAGATTACAGCTTAACAGACTTAACCATGTTAGTGAAGGAAGCATGCCAAGTACCTGAAACAAGTTTGATGATGTAAGGCTTAGATTTGCTTCACTCATATCAAGAAATGTTAATGAAGTCATGTTTTGGAGAAAAATAGGTGCTGGACCATGAAAAGAGTTTCTTGAAATATCAAAGTGCTAAATATTTTCAAGAAATGTAAAATTAAGGGGATGGTTATGAGATGGTAGGTGAGAACTTTTTAGATTATAGTCTGATAGAGTTAACCATGATAATGAAGAAAGCATGCCAAGTACCTAGAACAAGTTTGATGAGGCATGGCTTAGATTTACTCTACTCATATCAAGACATGTCAACGAAGTCATGTTTTGGAGAAAACTAGGTATTAGACCATGAAAAGAGTTCCATAAAATATCAAAGTGTTGAATATTTTCAAGAAATGTAAAATTAAGGGGATGGTTGGGAGATGATAAGTGAGAATTTTTTAGACTACAATGTGACAGACTCAACCATCATAACAAAGAAAGCATGCCAAGTACCTGGAACAAGTTTGATGAGGCATGGCTTAGATTTACTCCACTCATATCAAGTTGTTGCAAAGAGGAGAGATGAGAAATCCACTGAACATCATCAACCTTCAATCTCCTATAAAATTTGTCGGAAAGATCAAGTACACGAAGCCTCGTAAGATTTCCGAGTTCATTAGGAATTCTTCCTTTGAAGTTCACAGAAGAGAGATTTAGGTAGCTTAGCTGCTTCATCAAACCAAAGAAGGGCGGAATAACACTGCTGTTGAGGTTATTTCCGCTCAAGTCCAAGTATTCCAAGCATCTCAGCTTGAGCAAACCTGAAACAACCTCCTCTACATCATCAATCAAGTGCAACTGAGATCGATTAGATCTGGATCCCCTGAGTTGAAGTGAGACAACATGTCCGCTATTTTTATCACAGCCTACTCCTCTCCATTCACAACAGTCATTGCCTTTCCAAGAAGACAAAATATCAGATAAATCATTGAAACAAAGTTTGAACTTCAAGAGGGCTTCTCTCTCCCCCTCTATACAGCTTAAGCTTGTGTTCCGACCGGAACAAAACTCTGCAGCTCCAAAGAACAATACAGCCACTAGAACAAGCATAGCATGGAATGTTTCCCTCATGATTATGGTTTCAATTTGTATGGAAGGTGGATGTGGTTTTTAATTTTGGTTGCACATTAATATATAGTCCCATGGATTGGCAAGTTAGACACGTTTTCCAATAGTTACACTAAAGATAAAGACTCCGAGTGAGTAATTAAAGCAGCCAATTTTTGTATTTCGATCATTATCACTTGAACGCGTTCGCCAAGACTGGGATATCTTTTTAGTCCTTAAAGTCAATTTAATTATTGCTTTCATTTTCCTTTTGCCTCACCATAATAGTAATACAGCTTTTAAAGGTCTTGTGCTACTGTTGTGCAACGTGAAGACGGGAAAGGTTTGAAAATTGGCTTTCAATTCTTGGAGATATCAGTGGTTCGTAAATATTCCTTCTCTTTTTACCAATCATGGAAATATTGTATGGAAGATTAATTGATTTTATTTATTTATTTTTTTCGGATA